ATCTATTTCTGACTAAATAGAGGAAAATCATAGCAGCACATCAGGATTAATGAATTTAATTAAAGACAATACATATTTTTAAATAAGCTGAAATCTGGTTTTTGCTGCTTTAAATGAGAGAAAAACACCAGAACAGACAGACTTTGTCTCACAAGGCCAAACGGTTCTGGTTCCCCTGCCTCCTGAGTCTGCAGACAGAAACACGTGGATCTGAAGGGCACCAGGACCTTTAACCACAGAGGAGAACGTGGGACGTTCTCAGCTGCTTGTCTGACTTTTAAACATCAGATTGCACTGCTTTCTTTGTGTTTTTTTAATAACAAACTTCTGATTTATGGCTTCAAATTGTAATTTCTAAAGCTCATGGTTGCAAAAATGAACTTAAAAAAACTCACAGCTGCAGGATAGTCGGCTATAAATGCATCATTTAGAGTTTCAAAACAACAAATTCACAAACCCATTTGTTTCGATTGTTTTAAACTTTGTCCAGTTAAAGTAAAACCAAGTAAAACARAAGTTTTACTCACCAGGAGTGTAAAAAGTGGAGGAAAGGTGGATGGAAGCGAGACGGCTCCAGTAAAGATGAAGATGAAGAGGGAGTGAAGACGAACTTATCTGAAGGACACGGTTCAAACCACAACAACTCTGAACAGGAGTGGCTGCTGACAACTGCAAATTACTTTTATTTTGAAACTTTTCTGTTCTTCAATCTGGGATTTGAATCTGACAGAGAACAGGAATCATTCCTGCACCAAAAAGTAGTGATTATTTAAAAAGAATAAATGTATCCAAACACTAAATGCTGGTGCATACAATTTATTTACAAATGTGACATCACTGAAAACTTTTTGTTTCCTGTTAATATTTAAAGAACTTATCAAGAACCTTTGATTTCATGTTTTATTTAATCAACAGGTTATGGCTCTGAGAGTATTCTTTATTAACTCTGGTAATATTTGTCTTTATAAAAAAACAGATGTTTGCTTCAGTGCTTTTAAGTTTTGCAAAATTTATTTAAAGTGATCCATGATTAGTTGTAACATTAGACTTTATTTAATAAACATTTATTTTAACTGTAAAAT